CTATACTATATATATATATATATATATATATATATATATATCTGGTTGATCTACCGTATATCTCTCAACTTTCACTCGCTTTCTCTCAACATTCTCTGTCTCTCTCTCAACAAACACTTAGATTTTCGTCCTCTTCTTAAAAAAGCTTTGTTTTTTTTGGGTGAGTTAGTGGTGAGAGAGCCCCTACCCATAGCAGGAATTAATCCTAAGATGTAGCCTTGCAATTTTAAAAAAAAAATCTTTGTTTTGTCTTCATCACTTAATTACCTCCATATCCTACAGTTGGGAGTATGTTGAGAGAATGTCTTTATCTTTAACCCCCAAAAGTGTAACCTCAACAAATCCTATGCCGAGCTCCTTTCTGTGAAGCGAAACCTAAGCTCGGCAACCTTTGTTTCGAACTAACTTCTGTGAATCCAAACCAAAGTTTGGCAACCCTTGTGCCGAACTAGTCTCTATTAAATCAAACTTTGTGCTGAACTACTTTGTATGAAGCCAAACCAAAGCTCGACAACCCTTGTGCCGAGCCAGTCTTTGTAAGGTCAAATAAAAAATTTGGCAACCTTTGTGCCTAACTAGTCTCTGTGAAGCCAAGTCATAGTTCAACACTCTACTTATCAAAGTAGGTTCCATCTTCCCTAAAACTTGGATAACATTAGTACCAATGTAATCATAGTCATTTCTCAAAATTGTTCTTCTTCTAGTGACTACTTTACTTTCAGAACATCAAGTGAAGTAATTCCTTTTAAGTATGGCACACCTAAGCTTCACATCCTTCATCTCTATTAAACTTAGTAGAGACAACTACTTCAAATGGGAGGCCCAAGCTTTAAATTGTATTAAAGGCTTGAATCTTAAAAGTCACCTTAATGGGTTTGGTCGGCCACAAAATGAATCTATTTTTGAGGAACAAAAAGAAAATCAAGGCACCAATCTAGAACATTCAAAGTATCCAAATTTTTTGAAATGTGCATGAAGGATAAAGCACTTTGGAGTTGGTTACTTTCTACTCTCTCTAATGACTTACTCACTGAAGTGATGTACCTAATGATAACTCAAGAAATGTGGGAGACACTTTACAATACATATCCAAGGGAAAAATTTGCTAATGTTTTCCAATTTAAAACAAAATTAATCAATTTACAAAAGGGCTCTCAATCAGTAGCTGCATACCTGAATATGTTCAAAACTATATGTGACTACATTGATGCAATTGGTAGTCCAGTAAGCGATCAAGATATGGTTTTTTATACCTTCAAAGGTCTTGGTCTAGAGTTTAACTCATTTAAGACCTCCTTGATGATCGTTCTTTGGTTATGGAATCTGGTGTAACTGCTCATATGACAGATGACAACTCTCAATTCCGAAGTATGATTCCTTACCATGGTCCTTGCATTATATTAACTGGAGATGGTATTGCTTTACCTCTATCCCTTATTAGAACTTTGACTATTTCTACTACCTTTGGTTCTCTAAATATTCATAAAGTTTTAATTGTTCACAAACTAATGAAACAACTCACATTTGTATCTCAATTTGCTAAAGATTTTAAGTTTTGTTTTGAGTTTACTCCTCATGGTTGCATTGTAAAGGATCTACAAAATGGAAAGGTGATTGCTGAGGGGATGCTAAGAGAAGGCTTCTATGTGCTTCAAAATTATCAACTCTACATTCTTGCTATGAATATCTCCAAAGCAAGATGATAATCTTCTATTTTGTGGCATGAGCGCCTAGGTCATCCTAGTTCCACTATTGTAAGTCATCTTAGAAAAGAGTTAGTTTTACCTAATTTTGTTGATGACCTGCCTTCTAGTTCATTGTGTTCATCATGTCAGTTAGGAAAACACTCTGAATCTACAGTTGACTCAACTAATAGAAAGTATAATGGTCCACTTGATTTAATTCACATTGTTCTTCGGAGTCCAACCTCAGTTACTTCCTTATCAGGTTCTAGATTCTATGTTGTTTTTGTCGATGATTATGCTTGATCTGATATGTTTAATTGCTTTGTTAAATTTCACACCTACGCTGAGCATCAATTTTCTTCCAAACTGAAGGCTTTTAGGCCTGATGGTGGAGGTGGATTCACTTTTCATGTTTTTAAATAATATTTGAGTCAGCATGGCATTCATCATCAATACTCATGTCCATACACTCCTACACAAAATAATGTTGTGTGCAAACATCGTCATATTGTTAAGTGTGGTCTTTCCATGATATATTAAAAAAGCCTACCACAATTTCTTTCGCCAGAAGCTTTTTCCACCACGGTGTATCTCATTCACAGATTGCCAAGCTCTATGTTATTTTTCATATCTCCCTTCCAAAAGTTTTTTTATAGCAAATCAGATTACTCTTTTGTCCGTATCTTTGGTTGTGTATGTTTATTACACACATATCCATTCTTCTCAAAGAAACAAATTTTCTCCTAAGGCTCTCGAGTGTAGAATTTTTTAGATAGCTCAGAATATAAAGGTTATGGATGTTATGGCAAAGCATCGATTCGCTTCTTTATTGCAACACATGTAACATTTGATGAAACTAAGTTCTACTTTAAGAACTAGTGTTTCCTAATTAACACAAGTAATGAAATGCCAAATAATGTGTTTGCACCTACTTTAATGCCTTTTCAATTGTAGGACAAAGTAAACTCGCGAATGCCAATCTCTGCTAAGGTTACAGATGAACCATCTCAATAGCACCACCCTCATCAGTCATCTCCTCACTCTGATAGGTCCGATCTACAACCTATTTCCTCGACATAAATTTCACCCCCACCTTTCCTCTCTCCAACTTCAAACTTCGATACATCTCCCGTAGTGCAACATCATTTATCTGAACGACCTTCATAAGTTTCACCTATACCCCCACGTCGTTCCTCTTGCTCAACACAACCTCCTAAATACCTGTCATACTACCATGTTTACTCTGCAACCATTCATTCTCTTGACACTACCTCTAAGCCCATAAGAACAAAAGAACTCTGCAACCATTCATTCTCTTGACACTACCTCTAAGCCCATAAGAACAAAAGACCTTATTGATAGTTTTACCTCAGAGAGACTGTATTTCCATCATCAAGCATTTGCAACCTAAATTTCTCAATTTCAAGAACAAACCACCCATGAAGAACCAGCTTCTAACACTTGGTGGCTGACCTTAATGAAGGAAGAGATAAATGCACCTAAAAGGAATCATACTTAGGAACTAGTTTCATTGCCTCCAGGAAAAAATATTGTGGGCACAAAATGGATGTAAAAAGTTAAGGTCAAATCAGAGGGCTCAGCTGAAAGGTTGAAGTCAAGACTAGTAGCTAGGGGGTTTAGTCAAGAATATAGTATTAATTATGATGAAACCATCAGTCCAGTTGTAAAGGCAACCACTATTCGATGCATTCTGGCTGTCATTTATATTTAATTTTGAAACTACATCAACTTGATGTGAAAAATTCATTTCTTCATTGTCATTTGAAAGAAAAAGTGTATCTGTAACAACCTAAAGGATTTGAAGATCCCTTACAACCACTTCCTGTCGGCAAATTAAAAAGTGTGATTTATGGACTCGAGTAAGCTCCTTGGGCATGGTTTGAGAAATTCAGTTGTGAACTCCATAATATTGTCTTTGAAATAAGCAAGGTTGACTAATCCCTATTTTTAAAAAGATCATCCTCAGGTATTATCCTCCTTCTAATTTATGTGGATGATATCATTGTAGCATGTTGTGTTGTGTGATGGCTAATGAACAAATTTAAATTATGGGGTAGTACTTACCTTAGATGTAGTTTTGGATTCAAAAGCATCTAGGCACTTCTCCCTCTCAGATCTCGGCATAAAGTTGCTGCGAAAAGCGGTTTGATGTCCCTTGATGGGCATTGTTTGATCCAACTCCTTCACACTCCTTATCGTGTCATTATTCTAAGGCCTTGCGCTCACGATACTCAACGGGCCCTATATGCTCCTAAGGTTTGGTTAGGATTAGCGAGTTCGACTAGTGGTTTGGGCTAGAGTAGCTTAGTTAGGTGGGTCAAGTAGGATAAGATGAATGGGGTGTGTGGGTTAAAGAGGATTGGATGGGTTAAGGTGCCTAGGGCTCCTCCCCTCGT